AATTGCGTTCTAGCGAAAGGGGTTAATAGAAAATCATTTTTTCCATAGTTAAGGGATCAGGCTCGAGGTTGGAATTTGTAATAGTGGCTATTTTCAGACAATTCTGTGTGTGTGTGTGTGTGAGGCTCCTATTATGAAAGATAGCTAGCTATGGGTTCACACATTTTATTTAAGGAGAGATACTATTTGATCTAGGAGTTGGACACTTCTTCTATTAGTGTCACAGGATCTGTGATCTTAATTTCTTGTAACAATTACCTGCAGCTGTTTCCCTATCACCTTGCGGAGTATGTTTGCCGTGTGATGAGGATATCACCTTTCAGATACTACTGTGATATGATATTTGAAGTCATGAGAAATGGTATATTGTTGCTCTACTTTGAAGCTCACTTTTTCACTTACTTAAAGCTCTAGCTAACGATTATTGTTTTCTAATCCTCATTCCTTTTAATTTGACACAGAGCAACCTTATGACAGTATCCCAAACTTCAGTGCGGCAGATGCTTTCCGGCTTACGGGCATAGGGAGAAATGAGTTCATTGATATCATGAATAAATGCAGATCTAAGGTACCTTTTGCATCTATACTCTACATTGATATACTGTGGAAGTTGTACAGAGAAAAATTTCTTGCTTTGAAGAATCTTCTCCTGTGTAAAATATGGATATTTAATGCTTATGAAATTTAAGACGGAGTATTTTTGTTCTTTCAATTTGCTGGCTCTGTAATCCTAACTAGTCATCAGTCATTATAAAGAATCACTCGAGCCAATAAGTCGATGTTGTCCAGCTTCTATTATGTCTTATACTTTTCATACATGTGTTGAGTTTTCCAGAAAATTATGTGGAAGCTGAACAAGTCGATTGCCAAGGATTTCTTACCTACTCAACCTGTGGATTTCCCGATTGACCCTTGGTGGGGTGTTTGCCTTGTTAACTTCACCATAGAAGAGTTTAAGGTGATCTAAGCTCTTCTCTATATTTTCCGCTTCTTTCTGTTGAAGGTGTCACTGTAATCCTACTGTTCCTTGTCTGATAGCAGATCTTAATTCCTTGTTCTTTGCATAGAAACTTTCAGAAGATGAGATGGCGACAATAGATAAAATTTGCAAGGAGGAAGCTAATGCGTATATCCTTTCTGACCCGGAAGTCATAAAAGGCCTCTACCGAAGGGGATTGGTATATTTTGATGTCCCCGTCTATCAGGATGACCGCTTTAAAGGTGAGTTTTTGTTTGCCAATATATTTTCACTACTTTTTTTCTTTTTTAAAGTCTTTACTTTTATGTGCTTCACGGGTGGAGAATGTTGTTGCTAAGACACAAGAATTTCATGTCAGAGGGTCAATTATCATCGTTTGCCAATTTACTTTCATGCTATTTTCATTTTCTTAGAACAAAGCCAGTAAAGCTCCTCAATAGTCTGCTCTCAGATTCCTGTATATTACTAAGATCTTGACTGACATGCATGCGGTCTTGCATCCCTTTTTCAGTTTCAAAGCTTGAAGGGTTCATCTCCAACAGAGAGCAGTCTTATGAAGATCCTATTGAAGAGTAAGGGAACTGTTTGAGTACATGGAAGCTTTCCAATCTTGGATTCATTCACTGAGATGATCTAGGGAGGCTAAGAGCTCCAATTTCATTTTGCAGATTACTCTATGCAGTTTTTGTAGTTTCAAATGAGAACTCAACAGTTGCAGAGCTGGCATCCACTTTGCAAGCTGACCTAGCTCAATTACAGGCTGCTGCATCTTTTGTTTGCCGGTTGGGATGGGCTGTAAAGTTAATTGATCCGGCTTCTGTGCTTCATGACAAGATTATGCCTGGGTCTCCACGTGCCTTGCTCAGTGATGAAGAAGATACATCTGCTGATGGTGAGGCGGCTCAACATGGAGATCATATCGGGGCAGAAAGCTCTGGATCACGTTCTAGTCACGTTCGGGTTGCTTTCATAGTTGATGCTAATATAACATCGTATCTAATGATGGGTTCTGTGTCGCCAGGTATCTTTTCCTAGTTTCATTTGATCGTCAACTTATAATTACTAACAGCCCATGAATATCAATTATCCCTGTAAAAGGATCACTTTTTGCATTATCCTAACACATTCCATCCATTTTAATGAACGCTGTTATAGGATTGAAGTCTCATGCTGTAACACTTTATGAAGCGGGAAAACTCGGGCATACTAGTATCCCGGACCTTTGCCAGGATTTGAGCACATTAGAGGGAGCAAAATTTGAGGGTGAACTGCAAGAATTTGCAAATCATGCCTTTAGCCTTCGTGCTGTCCTGGAGTGTTTGATATCTGGTGGAGTTGCTACTGATACAACAGTTGATACGATGGGCTCGGGAACTTTGAGCAATGATGAGGCTGTAACTCTTCTTGCAGATGTCGACGTTCCTGATAATTTGGTAGATGCTTTAACCAGCCAAAATAGTGAGGCCTCGGTGGATTCAGATGCCCTTCAGGAGGATCCCTTGTCGACCAAAGGTGTCACTGAAAGAACTGAGTATGAAGAATCTTCCACTACACTGCCTGTTGATACTACTGCTTTGACTGAGACCTTCGATTCTAACCTAAGCCTTCAGAAAGACGGGGAGCCAATCCCCATAGAAGGACCCGACGCCGGTAAAGGAAACAAGAAAAGGAAGAGATATCGAGTTGATATTCTCCGTTGTGAAAGTCTGGCTTCTCTAACACCAGCTACTCTAGACCGTTTGTTTTCCCGTGACTACGATATTGTTGTTTCAATGAGTCCTCTTCCACTCACGACTGTTCTTCCTGGACCTTCAGGGCCCGTTCATTTCGGTCCTCCCTCCCATTCATCCATGACACAGTGGATGAAACTGGTATTGTATTCAACCGTGGGCACTGGGCCTTTGTCGGTTATCTTGATGAAAGGACAGTGTCTGCGTATGCTTCCTGCTCCACTAGCTGGCTGTGAGAAAGCTCTCATTTGGTCTTGGGATGGATCTTCGGTTGGTGGTTTAGGAAACAAGTTTGAAGGTAATTTGGTCAAGGGAAGTATACTGCTGCACTGTTTGAATTGCCTTCTCAAATGCTCAGCTGTTCTCGTTCAGCCTCTCAGCAAGCATGATCTTGATAACTCTGGAAGAGTTGTTACTTTAGATATACCATTACCCCTGAAGAACTCGGATGGTTCCATTCCTCATTTCGGCGACGAGCTTGGTCTTCCCGTTGAGGAAAACACAAAGTTGAACTCTCTGTTAACTAAGCTGGCGAACAACATGGAGTTGTGGACAGTTGGTTACCTTCGCCTTTTGAAACTCTTTAAAGCAAAGGATTCGTCAGGCAGCTTTGCTCCGGATGATGATGAGAAGTATGAATGGGTCCCTTTATCCGTGGAGTTTGGGTTGCCACTCTTCAGTCCAAAGCTATGCAACAATATCTGCAAAAGAATCGTCTCGTCACAGTTACTTCAAGCAGATTCGCTCATGGAACAACACGATGCAATGCAATGCATAAGGAAAAGGTTGAAAGACGTATGTGCACAGTACCAAGCAACAGGTCCAGCTGCTAAACTTCTTTACCAGAAAGAACAAGCAAAGGAGGCTCCTCGTAGCAAGCTCATGAACTATGCAAGCGGAAGGTGGAACCCACTCGTGGACCCTTCCTCGTCAATTTCAGGTGCCACGAGCGAATTCCAACGGTTGAAACTAGCTAATCGCCAACGTTGCCGGACTGAAGTTCTGAGCTTCGACGGTAGCATCCTTAGGTCAGTCTAGTTCCTACTTCCTTCCATGTTTCATGATTTTTTTCTTTTCGTTTCTCGGTTGTTTAGAAGTTTTGGGGTGGTCGCAGATCATACACCTTGAGTCCTGTATATGAGGCGGCCACAAGGACCATAGACGAGAATGCACCTTTGAGTTCAACAAAGGCAGATGCCGATGAAGCAGATAGCCGAGAAGTGGTTCTTCCAGGACTAAACCTTCTCTATGATGGCTCGGATTTGCACCCTTTTGACATTTGTGCTTGCCTTCAGGCTCGTCAACCAGTTGCTCTCATAGCAGAAGCTGCTGTTGCATCTGCAATCCTCGCCCCGAAGTAATCAAGTGAAAGGTATAATATATAGACTGAAAATCTTGAATCTTATCCATGTTCATTGGCTGTTACAATTTTCATAATACATCTGTTATTGTCTTTTGTATAACGCATCTGATCTATTCTTTGCTACATCCCGAGTTGTATTCTTTTTGTTTATATTCATTTGTTTAGCACTTTCTCTGCAATCAGTGATCTTTTATATGTTTCTAATTCTAATATCATCCTGTGTGTGTTAATCTTATCATCTTTTGCAGATTCTTTAATTTGGCCCCAATCCAGTGATGCTTACCCTTTTGATCACCAAGTTCGTGGAACCGTGGTTGCTGGAGAAACTGAAGACCAATTGCTGGGACTTGAATGGAATTTTACATACTAGTATTTGGATGAACACTACTGGAGTGTTGGGAATATCTTGAATTTTTGTATCTAATTCCCGATGGAACTATACAGCGACTTCCAGCTGAAACAAAACAGATCACGATGAAGACACAAAGCTTGTATGAGAATCTGTAACATTGATATGAAAATACGAGAGCAAGAGTTGTTGATGTGAGGTTTACGTAATCAACCGAGTTACTTCTATTACCATTGTCGGTTTGTTTGCTCACCTCAGTTAGTCTCTTCTCTAAATTCAACAAAACAATGGCAAATAATGTAATGGCTGTTTTCAATATACAATCCGTATTTGTGTTACATCTTTACTGGTATAGAGGAAATGAATACTGCAAAAATTAGAATTAGAATTGTAATTTTATGGCTGTGTTTAAGACCAAAGCAAAAGCTCATTATAAGTTTACACTTTTGAGACAATTGTCTTGTATACAAATTTCTTCAAAGGATACAAAAATAAGAGTAACAATCAATGTGATCATCAAAGAAACAACTTAGTGGTACAACTATATTAACCTCACAATATTCTTCGTTTCCTTTGGTCTCAGGCTATTGCCGACGTAATTGTCTCAACCTCTGTAGGACGCCACCATGATTTCTGAACAGAGAGCAAACCTTCTCCATCTTTGGAATGCGTCATTCTTACATTCCATTTCATCGACTTCACCATCTTCTCAATCTCTCCTATCGTCTCCGCGTCATCTCTTACTATAAAAGTTCCTTGTGGTCTAAGAATCCGGTCTACTTCAGCCATTACAGACACCAAGCTACACCTGACAATGTGTTTTGTTCATAACCATCAGCATTTTGCAATCAAGAAATATCAAAAAGGCTAAGAAGATATATATATATATGGGTATATACATACCTCTTCTTTAGCGCAGAGAAAAGATGATCAGCGTGAAGAAGGTCGTAAGTGCGAGGGTAAGTGCTGAATGATTCACACCAGTCATGATAGATTCCAAACAAACCACGTTCATATATGATCGGAAGTGTATCAGGTGAGTCGATAGGAACCACATTCATCACCCACAGTTTCAGATCCTTCAATGCAGCAGCAAAACTGAAACCACACAAAAGAGAAAGAGAGATTTCATAAGACACACGAGTCAGTAAGGCCAGTTTTGCTTTTGATGAAAGATTTGTGTATAAGCTTTTTGCTTACCCTCCATAGACAGCTCTCATGTCCATCACATTTCTCACGTAAGACCAATCGATTCCCATCCCGTTGAGGTATGACTTTGAAACAATAGACTTCCAGCGTTCATGGTCCGCTGTGAAATCCTCTTGAGCAGGCTTTCCATATACGCCTTCCTGAGACTCTAGCCACTGAGGAACAGTCTCCACTCTCTCTGGCCAATTCTCAGGCCATACTGCTCCGCGTTTTGATGAATCTTCTGTAACCTTGTGCATGCATGCCTCAAGTGGAACATTCCTGCATCAAACACATCTAATTCAGCAACAACATTTCATTATTAGATTACTAGTCACTTGAAGGGAAATAGATAAACTACCACGCAGCATTTTGATCATCAGAGTCTTTGCAGAGAGGTGGCTCATTTTGAGATCTTTTGTTGTAGCATTTATTCGTCATTGGCTTTTGGTAAATGGCAGCACCAACTTCATTCAGTTCGTCTTTCTTAATCGTCATCAGTTTCCAGCACATTGCCTTTGTTAGCTCAGACATAGCTACAAAACAGAGAAGGCATCTCACAAGTTAGTTAAAGAAACAAATTGCCAAAAGCCTTATTCATGTCCCAATAAAAAGGGGAATAAATTTTCCAAACCTTTCCATATGCCAACGTCTTCTTCCGTCTTCCTGTAAACCGGAGTTGCCGACCAGACAAAGAAACCACCAGGCCTCAATGCACGATTCAATTCCAAAAGTAGCTTACCACCTTCAGTTCAAACAACAAACCAAGAAAAACTGTTATTCAACTAACCAAAAATACGAAGGCTAACTACAAGAATGGGAAGGTTTATTTTTACCTTCGATGTGCCAAGGGACTCTACAACGAGCACAATGGATAAGGTCAAAAACAGATCCTGGGAAAGGTAATCTCTTGGTTCCCATAACATTCGACATTGCAGGAATACCACGTTCCAAGGCAAACTGCACTTGCGCCTCGTGCTCATCTTTGGGAGCAAATGACAAAGCAAGAACATCCCTATCAAAAAGGTATCCTCCGAAGCTAGCAACCCCACACCCAACATCCAGTATAACACGGGTTCTGTTTCCCCACGCAATATCAGGATATGACTGGCAACAAAAACATATAATAACAACGTCAGTCAATGGTCAAAGAGAAAGTTGTGCAAGACATTGAAAGACAGTTAAAAAGAAGTTGTACCTCTTGGAGGAAATCTATGTAGTGAAGAGCACCGTTCTTGAACTGAGTACCTCCACCAGGGAATGTTAGATATTCACCACTCATCTTAACCCAGTTCTGATGTCCCTTTACTTCCGCAAGCTTGGTGTGAGGAATATTGTTGTACCAGATCTGCATCAACACAAAGGAGAAGAACAATTAACGGATGTCACTGATAAAATAACATAAAGAAGCACAAGCAGCTTCTCCTTTTATTTTTTTTACCTTTTCTCTGCTCTTAGGCCACTTGATGGATCGCTTATACCCTTCAGGAAGAGCAACGAGGCAGCGTGGAGACTCCTCAGGACAATGCCTCTCACGATGCTCATAATGCTTAGTGGAATGAAGCTTTCTGATAGCTTGCCAGTTATCAAGGCATGGAATGTAGTCTGGTCCAGCTGTTACATTGCAGAGCTTCCATTTGATCGAGGACACTTGTGCTTTCTTCTCGTTCTGCGACTCAACCAATTGTGTAGACCAAGCCCCACTTCCAGTGCTTGACTCCTTTGTGATCTCAGCCTGGTCACCAGCTGGGAAAACATCCTTGCTCTTCTCAGTAGTCTCTTCAGTTTCACCAGCGTTCTCTTCTGTCTTCTTCTCACTGTTCTCTTCAGATTCACCAGCGTTTTCTTCCGTTACATTACCATCCTCGGATTTGTTCTCTTCCGAGCTCTCTTCCAGTTGCGTTTTCTCCTTTTGCTTCGCTTCATCAGTTTCTGGCTCCGTCTCTTTCTCACTCTCTCCATCTTTTCTATCACCATCACCATTCTTGTCCTCAAATTCCTTTTTTTCCTCAACCTGTTCTGTTTTCTCAGGATCAGGCTTCTCTTCGCTGCTCTCTGTGACAACCTCAGTCTCCTCAGTCTTTTCATCCGAGAAACTCTTGGAACCTCGCTCAACTTCTTCATCACTCTTAGTAGTAGTAGTACTAGTTTCCACATCTTTTGAAGCCTCGCTTGCAGAGAAGTCAACAGACTCAGTTGGAGCAGACCATGAGGACATGAACATCCACGCCCCAACCAAACACAGAGAAACAACCAAAACTATGGTAATGGTTAAGCCATAGCCTGATGACTTCTTCCCGTCTACACGAGAATACTTCCCCATTGCCATGTTTCTAGACAATCCCTAGTCACATGCACCTGCAAAACCAAATTACATGAAGACAATTCAAACAATTTTTTAGTAACTAGTAAAACTATCAAAAGGTGGATACTTTAGAATCAGAGGAAGATCATGGCTATAGACACTATTGACAAACTGCTTGTTTATTTAAGATTTGTTTAAGTCGAATGTCAGAGGTTTAACCAACACAGAGCAGGGAACAGATGATTGCAGATCTAAAAATCAAACTTGAATCAACAAAATATAACTTCAACGAACAGATCAGGCACTAGCCAGAACTCAAATGACAATACTTTAAAGCAAAAGTAAGAGCAAGCATCAGTAAAAACGAACAAAGAGAAGCTCCTAGACATTTCGGAATCAGAAAGCAAGAACATTTAAAGAAAGCGAGAGAGACTTGAAAAGAAGTTGATGTATTTCAAGTGAAAGATTACCAGAGAAAGGGGAGTTGGCTCAGATCTTCCTCAAAAAGATTGCAACTTTATGACCAGAGAGTAGAGAAGTATCCAGATCGGGATCTAGTAGAAAGAGCAAGATTTGATGATTTTTATAGCTCAGAGCAAGTGGTGAAGCAAATCATACTACTCACCCTCCAGAGCTAGTGGGTTACAGCCTTAAAATACCAGAATTTTGGATCTGATTCCCACGAAAGTTTGCTCTTTTTTAAAAATTTATTTGACAAATTTGGTTTTCGAAGATTTGTTTATTCTTCTCTAAACCCGCGTCGGTCACCGACATTTATAAAAGACTCTCCTTCGATCTTGATGGAGAGGTATGAAAGCGGTGCCGTTTTAGTGCCGGAAACAGCTAAGCTCTTGAAAACGCACGTGATCAAAACTCGATTGCGGCCCATTAGGCCCATTTTGACTCTCTTTCTATTTCTGTGTTGTTGAATTTCTATTTTCTAGTGCTAGATTCTCTTTGCAACTAACATGAACAACACAATCATAATTTTTTTTTTTATAGACTCTATCAGCTTCCGGTTAGTTCCGGTAGAAATGCACTAAAGTGCTACAAAATGGACTCAGGCCACATACATTTCTAATTACCAGATAAACCAATTGGGCCTAAGCCCAACTAACAGACTTCCCACACCAATGTGATTTTTGTTTCTAGGGAGGATTGAACCTGGGTCTGAGAAATTCACCCTTCATCTAGGCTTCCCCTTACCACTGGACCACAAAAGTGCGGACCAATCAATCCAAAAACTTTAGGTGTAGCAGTTTATTAGTTTGTAAAGTTTGTAAGTTGTATTATGAAAATCCAAAAACAGTTTCCATGTTATAGGGAAACAAATTATCTAACTTCGAATTTACTTCTTATGATAGTTTCATTTCATCTCTAAAGTATTCAAGATAATTTCCTGAAAAATAGTGTAGCTTCTCTAAATAACTAATTCACTTGCAAAAAAAATCGTACGTCTACATGAATCTCTCTGTAAAGGCACACAGAGACTAAGCAAGAACAATATACTGTATGTTCTTGTAATCTAAGCTTATTAATCTGTCACAATGAGATAACAAGAAGATATATACTAGTCAATAGTCAACAGACAACAAGTTCTTGTATAGGTCATGAACCTAGGAAATCTAGAGAAATGTACTTTAAACTTTCAATCTATAAAAAATTTCAGTCGTTTACAAGTCTATTACAACTCGAAACAAGATTGTTCTGAAAAAAAAACAGAACTAATATTAAATGATCCTAGCTAATAATCTGGCCATCAACACTGAAAATTTTGCAGGTTTAGTAAGGGGTTTATTACGTTTCTAAGAATATTAACGGACCTACAAGTTCAACATCTTTCATTCCATTGCACATGTCTTTGTGTCTAAATTTAATTATACTGAAATCATAGCCACATCCACATGGTCATGTCATTAGTCAGGATTTCTCACTAAATTGAGGACCCTATATTACCACATCCAACAAAGACAGGAGAAATTTCAATCTATAAATTCTCAATATTATGTAACAAGAAGAAGCTACATTAGAGGACCTACAATTTAGGTATCTTAACCATTCATTTGCACATGTCTTTGTACCTAAATATTGTCATAGCCTTTTTTTTTATAATATATTCATATCCACCGCATTAAATCGGTAAGGTGATTAGTAGGATTGATTACTAACTTGGGCCCTTATGATCACACACAAGAGATACATAAGCACATGATGAGTCTGTTTGCTTTGGTTACTCTAAGGTCTCTCTAATTTATATATAATGCAACAAGCCTAATGGATTGTCCATCAACCATAACTTTTATTCGAAGAGTTCTAGTACTTACAAGTATCTCCTTCTCACTTTCCAGTATAAAAATCTTGTCCTAAAAATGACGCTGAACACAAAGAAACTCATCAAGATGGCCAAGAAATGGCAACAAAGAGCAGCTTTAAGCAGGAAAAGAATCTCATTTCAGAGATCGAGTACTACCAGTAACTCAACTACTGTAGAAAAGGGCTGTTTCGTGGTTTACACGGCAGATAAAGCTCGCTTTGCTTTTCCGATAAGTTACTTGAGCAATTCTGTTTTCCAAGAGCTCTTGAAGATCTCTGAAGAAGAGTTAGGCCTCCCTACTGGTGGACCAATCACTTTGCCGTTCGATTCAGCTTTCGTGAAGTATCTCATCACACTGATCGAAAGACGAATGGATGGAGATACAGAAAAAGCTCTCATAATGTCAATCTATGTTGCTAGTTGTTCTTTACAGTGTTCTTTGGAACAACAAAGTAATACTCGGAAATTTCTTGTATTTTAGAGGATAAGAATGTAGCAGTTTCTGTTTTTGTAAAGACTCTTTTGTATTAAATTAGACATATTACTTCAGACATACACACTTTTATTCCTGCCTCTCTTTTAAATTGGCTCATCAAAGTCAACTTTCATGTTAAACCAAGAAAGGTAAGTTAACTTCAATATCACTTGTTGTGACAGTTTAGTCAAACTGTTTGCTCTGAAACTTTCAGTCAAGAACAATGGTACAATGGTTAAAAAATCATTCACCATGATTCATCCATTGTCCCTAGCTATGAATCGCTGAAAAGTCATACAAGACTGCAAGAAATAATATAAACATGAAATTTTTTAGAAGGAATCATCGAGTCTTTCCTGGCCAGAAAATTGAAGATCCTACATGTTCTTCATCCTTGCTTCACCAGCACATGTGTTTCTTTGTATCTATCTAATCATTAAATTTTAACCAGATTTCTTTTCCTTGATTTCACCAAAAGATTTGTTGCCCCCTGAATCATATACTTGAATCTATTATTTTTGTGACTCACAGTTGATTTCACCAAATATGGACCCTTATGCTTACAAACAAAGCTATAGTGAAGCATGACTGTGATATTTTTGGCTTCTAGCTCTTGTATATACAGGTTCTCTTAATGTCTCTTGTGTATAATGTAACCAGCCTCTCGCATTCTTTATTAAAGTCTTAGTACCAAACTCTTTTCAAACACTTTTAATAAATAGGATTCATACCCACATGATCATGTCTTCTCGCCATAAGATGTATAGTCCACAGGTTGATTTGCAGACAAAATTGATTACCAACTTGGGACCCTTAGAGTAGAAACATAAGCATGTGTTGTGTCTGGTTAGGTTGCTCAGGAGCTTGTCACAAAGCCTGTCTAAAACTAATAGTTTCTCCTTCTATATAATGAAACAAGCCTTCTAGCATTCTTCATCAATCACAACTTTTCATTCAGAGAGTTCTATAAACACAACTCACAAATCTTCTGTCTTTCTCCTTCTCGCTTTCCGATCTAAAAACTTTTTTTCCTTGAAAAAGAATGATGAACACAAAGAAGCTAATCAAGATGGCCAAGAAATGGCAGCAGAGAGCAGCCCTCCACAGGAAAAGAATATCATTCCAAAGATCAAATACTAATACTACTAGCAGCTCAACCGCTGTAGAGAAGGGATGTTTCGTGGTTTACACGGCGGATAACAAACGTTTTGCTTTTCCAATAAGTTACCTAAGCAACTCTGTTTTCCAAGAGCTCCTGAAGATCTCTGAAGAAGAGTTTGGCCTCTCCGTTGGTGGACCAATCACGTTGCCATTTGATTCGGCTTTCTTGGATTATCTCATCAAACTGGTTGAACGAAGAATGGATAAAGACACAGAAAACGCTCTGTTAATGTCAATCTCTAGTGCTAGATGCTCTTTACAGTATTCTCTTCAACAGCAAAGTAGTTGTACTCAACAATTGCTTGTATGTTAGAATGTTGTTTTTTTTTTGTGTTTGTAAAGCATCTAACGTAGTCATAAATACAAAAAATTAATTTTGTTTCTCTTTAAGATTGTCTCATCAAAATTCAAATCAACTTCCATTTTAAAAGAAAAATATCACTTGTTGTGACAGTTTCATCTCTGATACCATCAACCCGTTTTGCTGGAAAATGGTGCAGCTGCTAAAACTTTCATCGAGTGTTCATATGAATCTCTGTAAAGACACACTAGACTGTACAAGAACAATGGATATTCTTATGATCTCTACTTAATTATTCTGTCACAATGAGAAACTAAGTACTTGTTACAGCAAGAAAAGTCCAATAAAAATCTCAATATACATTTTGATCTATTCCTTCGATCTCTTTTGGAACTATCAAGGAGCCATCTGTTATCTTTAAAATTCTAACATAAAGGAGAGTAGTTTTAATTCTCATAAAAATGGAAGCAGCTATATAACTACGCACTTAATCTGTACATGAGACAACTTATGTTTTATGTTCTTAAAGCTAATGTTTCTATGTTCTTCAAGCTTTGGTCTGCAAATTTTACTTTCTTGACCTTGAAGAATGCCTCAAGCATGCTATTATTCACCTTTTGGTGAAAAAATGTTTCACTGTTTTGCAGGTTGTGGAAGAGTCTCAGTGCATCAATATATCTTTCCTTCTTAGATAACCCAAAGAGCAACCTACGTCTACTGACTTCATCCGGATGCAACCACCATTGTTGATTTGGCTGAACTTGGTTTGAGCAATTTGTCGAAGATATAGTCTCTCAGATTACAGTGTATTCCCCAAAATTCCAATTATTCTAGAAAAAAGTTTAACTTGATGAACAAACTTGTCCCCACATAATTTATCAAAACATCGTCCTCTTGCAAAGTTTAATCTTTTTATAGGTTCTCATGAAACAAAATGGCCAAGAAATTAAATATACTTAATTGCAACGGTTAACATATTTTCTGGTGGACATCCATGGCCAAAGTTAAACCTTGGAATTCTAGATGACTGACCTTTAAACCTCAAGCTATGAACCCTTTTTACTCATTTTCCAGACTATTACAATGCGGAAGATGATTGTTCCGAATAAGATTACTGATATTTAAGGACCCTAGCACCTACCCAAAGGCCAAAACCAGTGAAGTTTCTGCAGATTTAACTTCTCGGAGAACATCAGAGGACCTACAAGTTGTACATCTTTAAGCAATTTCCACATGTCTTTGTGTTTATATTTTGTTATAATACTAATGGTATAACATTTATACCTTTATTTACACAAGGTCATGTCTTTTCAGGAGATGTTTTCATCCACAAGTTGATGAGCATACAGGATTGGTTACTTAATTTGGGACTCTTTGTGATCACATACAACAAAGACAGAAGCACATGTGTTCTGTCTACCTTAGTTGCTCTAAACTTATAATAGTTTCTCCTTATATATAATCCAACAAGCCTACTGAATTTTTCATCAACCATAGCTTGCATTCAAGAGTTATACAACGCAACTTACAAACATCTTTTGCTTTCCAACCTAGAAAATAGCTTTCCCAGAAGATAATGATGAACACAAAGAAGCTCATGAAGATGGCCAAGAAATGGCAACAGCGAGCAGTCTTAAGAAGAAAAAGAATCTCATTCCAAATATCAAATACTACTAGCAGCTCAACCGCAATAGAGAAGGGCTGTTTCGTGGTTTACCTGGCAGATAAAATCCGTTTTGCTTTTCCATTAAGTTACCTGCGCAACTCTGTTTTTCAAGAGCTCTTGGATCTGAAGAAGAATTCGGCCTCCTAACTGGCGGACCAACCATGTTGCCATTCGATTCGGTTTTCTTGGAGTATCTCGTCAAATTGGTCAAGAGAAGAATGGATGGAGACACAGAAAAGGCTCTGTTAATGCCAATCTCTAGTGCTAGATGTTCTTCACAATGCTCTTTTCAACAGCAAGAACAAATGCTTATATTTTAGAGAGTTAGGGTAGCAATTTATGTGCTTGTAAAGATTCAGAAATATTACTTCAGAAATACAAATCATTACTTTTATATCTCTTTTTGACTCTCATCAAAATCAAATTTTGTTTATAACCTCAACACAAAGTGAAGTATCGATTCTTTTTACTTGTACATAAACCATTAATCTCATCTTTAGTAAATGCATATGATGAGACAACAAAAAGAAATAAAACTACAATATGAACCAATGAAACATTACTTTTGATGTATGCAGCCATTTTCTTTTGTCTCTCCAAGTTTTGTGAACTCATATGAGATATATATAGGGTGAAACATATCTTCAAATTTACAGTAATAGATTTACCCTAAATTTTTTTCATCATCAATGCTATTAGGTTGTATACCATAAGTAAATGATTTGAATAGACAATAATTAAATTATTTGAATCAACAGCAGCAATATATACATTTTTTTCTTTCTAATAAATTGGTATAATTATCTTTTAGTATCTATCTATTAACAGAAAAACATATTAGAAAATGTATATCAAGAAAATATTTAAAACATAAGAAATATTTGTTCTTTTTTTGCTAAACTATGTCTAAACTCATGCTAAATTTTAGTAAAATATTATATAAGAAAATTTAATTGTGTTTTTATCACATAATAAAAACTCATGTTTTTATTGATATTCTTTGTCTATATAGACATTTTCCTCGTAAACCCCCATTTACAGGAAAATGATAAAACATAATATCCGGGAGCTTAGTGTAACATCCGCGGACCAGAAATCTAGAAAATGGCCGAAGGAACTGGTCCGGGAAGATAGTTTTGGCCGAGGAAAATGGAAGAATCCGAATGTACTGAGAAATTTGAGCTGGAACGACTAAGTGTCGAAGGAACTGAGCTGGATCAGTCAGCTGGCCGAGGTAGTGAGCTGAGTGGCCGAGCTAGCTGAACTTGTCCGAACGGATTGGTGAAAATTCGGACAAGTCTTGTCTTGTTCGGACAGGACGGTTATTCCTGTCGGGACGGAAATGACTTTGGCCGAGAGAATATTATTCCATCCGGGAATAATACGGCTAAGTGTCTGAGCGCGGGAACGGTTATGGGTTTGGCCGGGACGCGCAGAAGGGAAATGCGCGGGAACGGTTATTTCCCTTGTTCGCGAGCGCGGATAATGAAATAGGCGGGAACGGTTATGGCCGAGAGCCAAAACGCGTGCGTTTCATTAATCCGACGGTTATGGACGGGATCACGGGTTAAAAGACTCGGGGAGAAGGGATTTCTCATTCATTCAGACTCAGAAATATTTCTAAGTGTCCAGAGAGAAACGGTTATCGAGAGAGAAAGCGGTTTCCGAGAGTTTTCGTCTGTTCCGATCGATATCGACCGTATCGATCGTCTGTTCCGACCGAGAGCGCCTGTTTCCGATCGGTGGTCTGACCGAGAGCCGACCGTACCGAAGATCCGAGAGCCGAACGTTCGACGATCCGTCCGAGAGCGTCCGAGCGACCGTTCTGTAACCGTACGAACCTCCGTACGCGACTGTTCTGTTTACCGAAGGGAATCCGATTCCCGACTGACTGACTAAGGTGAGTGCGTGACCGTGTAGTCATAGTGTATGGTCGTTCTCACGGCATAGATAGATTCAATGGTTGATGATTGCTTGTTAATGTGTCTGATTGCTTGTCGTACTGATTCTGATGGCTTGGTCGGAATGGTCGGTCTATTGGCGAGGGTTACTCGGCCGGGTTAGATAGCCGACCGTTCGCGATAAGCGACTGTGGTTAACGGCATGACTGATTATTGAACTGTGTGTTCTGATTGCGATTCTCTGTACTGTGGCTTAGTGGGCGGGATGACCGCATTCACTAAGCAAACTTGTTTGCTTATGCCTCATTTTAATGTGGCAGGAACTGATCCGACCATAGGTGATGGCCGGACTGACTGATCTGGACGCGAGACAAGGCCGGGAAGGAAGGGATGGATAGGTCTGGGTAGACGGACTAGTTTAATGATGTAATAGCCTATAGCGAACTCACATTGTTGCTAGAACCGAATTTGTATTTCAAGTTTCTGCATTGTTCGTTTAAACAAGATGATTTAATCTAAGTACTTCAAGTTTCTGTATATTCGTTTGTGCATAAATGACTAAGTGTGGGAACCTCATGCAACTGGAAATGCTAAGTAAAAACCGGACCTAAAATTTGACTAAGTTAAATTTATCAGGAAAACCGGATTAGGGTGCTTCACTTAGCTTCTTTCACAGTTATCAAAATCAAATGTGAGGTTATAATCACTTGTTGTAGGGTTATACTCAAAACTGTTTTCCTGTAATATTTTCATTCATAAAAAACGGTGCAGTGAATCTAGTGATTAAGAACCAACACAACAAAAGTCCTTGTGCCCCTCCAGATGATGACATCGTTTAAAATGAACAACCAGTAGAAACATTCTAAATAATACCAGTCAGCAATATTTTGGTTTACTTGCCATGTTTTAATCTCGGTTTGATCCGCATTAAATATGCTTTACTTTCAATTAGTAGCTTCTCAATCTCCTCTCCCCGGTTACGAGTCATTCTTCAACTTCCGCAAAATTTGTCTTCCTCTTCTATGTTTGAGACAGTCTTATGATGGCGGCGACATGCTTCGTGCTCTCCCAGTTTCAACAAGTTACTTTTTATCAAATCCATCTAAGTTTCTACTTCCTTCGTGTAATCGCAGTTATTTTTTTTCAAGCTGTTATTTCTTTTGTTTCTCTCCACCGCAGTTCTTTCAATTGAATAAGATATTTTTCAGATCTAACGAGAGGTTGTTAGATTTAAGTTTAAACTTCATTAAATGATAAAAGAAAACAACATTCTTGTTTAAATACAACAGTCAAAATACTAAACCGAAATTAACATAAACCAAAGTCTCAATAACCAACATAAACTAGTATATAATCTAATACTCCCCCTCAAGATGGAGAATAAAGGTGATGAATTCCCATCTTGGACAAAAGATGGTTGAATTGAAGCGCTGTGAGAGGCTTTGTGAGGAGATCTGCGAGCTGGTGTTGAGAACTCACGTGCAATGTCTTCATGAAGCCGGAAGCCACACGTTCACGAACCACATGACAGTCACGCTCGATGTGTTTGGTGCGCTCATGATAGACAGAGTTCTTTGCGATGTGCAGTGCAGCTTCATTGTCATAGTAGAGGACGATCGTATCATCAAGCTTTATCTTCAAGTCCTCTAGCAGTGAGTTGAGCCAAAGAAGCTCACATGTAGCATTCGCCATAGCTCTGTATTCTGACTCTGCTGTGCTTCTACTAACCACGTCCTGTTTCTTTGATTTCCAAGTAACCAGAGAATCACCAAGGAAGACGCAGTAGCCAGTTACTGAGCGTCTTGTATCGGGACAAGTGCCTCCATCTGAATCTGCAAAAGCGCGGACGGTGAGGGAGGATTGAGCAGAGTAGAAGAGACCTTGTCCTGCATCATTCTTCAAGTAACGGAGGATACGGTGTGCAGCTTCAAGATGAGGCTCTCTCGGAGGAGAGTTGTATTGGCTCAACTTGTTGACTGCAAAACTGATATCCGGTCGAGTCACGGTGAGATAGATAAGCTTGCCCATCAGCTTCCTGTAGTGAGAAGGATCAGAAAGTAATTCTCCGTCGTCCTGGCCAAGCTTGATATTGATTTCCATTGGTGTTGGTGCGGGTTTGCATCCAAGAAAACCAAACTCTTCCAATAGCTCGAGCGTGTACTTTCGTTGTGAAACTGAAATACCAGCCTTTGCTCTTGCTATCTCCAAACCCAGAAAGTAACGCATTGTACCCAAGTCTTTGATCTTGAACTCTTTGGCAAGAAGACGTTTCAGATCAACCACAACTTCATCAACATTGCTGACCAATAGAATATCATCCACATAAACCAATAGAGCAAGGAAACTTTCTTCCGTTTGCTTAACGAACAATGTTGGATCCGCATATGACTGAGTAAAACCATAGGCAAGGAGAACTCCAGAGAATATGTGAAACCATTGGCGAGATGCTTGCTTGAGGCCGTATAGAGACTTGACAAGTCTGCAGACAGGCTTCTCTGGTAAAGACTCCCCCTGTCTTGGTGTGTAACCTTATGGTAAACGCATGTATATCTCTTCTTCTAAGTCACCATGCAGGAAGGTATTTGTGACATCCATTTGACTCACACTCCAGCCGTGAATCGCAATCAAGGCCAAAAGAACACGAACTGTCTTGAGGTTTGCAACAGGGCTGAAAGTATCAATTAAATCCACTCCTTCTTGTTGAGTGTACCCTTTTGCTACCAAACGTGCCTTGTGACGCTCGAAAGAACCATCAGACTTATACTTCAATTTAAACACCCATTTACAACCAATAGCATGTTTATCTTCAGGGAGAGAATAAATAACCCAAGTTTTTGTACTCACTAGAGCATCCAATTCGAGGTTCATCGCATCAAGCCAATGTTGCACCTTCACTGCCTCTTTGAATGCTTGTGGTTCTTTCTCAGCAAGTATCGAAAAACAGAAGAGACGATACTCAAGAGAGAGTTTATCGTAAGACAAATAAGCAGACAAAGGATGAGCAGTACCAAGAAGAGAGACTGAAGGCTCTTTTGTGATGTTAGAGCAATGGTACTGTTGAAGATAACTTGGAACACGAGTCTGTCTGTAGGGCCTGCGCATGTTCTCTGTATCAACCTGAGTATTTGGTGGTGTGGGATGAGAAGTATTTGATGGTGATGGTAATGGAGAATGGGATGATGAAGGTATGTTCTCTGGAACTTGTTCATTAATAACATCATTATCCCTTGAAAAATTGAAATCATTGTATAAAATGTGCTCATTGTTTTTGGGATTTTCAAAAGATGGTAAGATTGATTCATCAAACATAGTAATAGTTTTCTGAGATGGCGATTCCACAAAAGGAAAAATGTTTTCATGAAAAACAACGTTTCTAGAAATCGATGTAGAGTTAAACTCCAAATCCAAAACCTTATAGCCTTTAAAACCAAATTCATATCCAAGAAAAACATAGGGTGTTGCTCTTTCTGTAAACTTATGTCGATCTTTAGGATATGTTGATGCATAGCACAGGCAACCAAAAACTTTCAAATCCGAATAGTTTGGGATCTTTTTGTGGAGAAGCTCAAAAGGGGATTTGTTGTTTAGAATTTGGGTTGGTGTGTGGTTAATCAGAAATACAGCAGTAGAGACACATTCTGGCCAGTAAGGAAGAGGAATTTTGGACTGGAAGTAAAGGGATCTAGCAACATTGAGAAGATGCTGGTGTTTTCTTTCTACGAGAGAGTTTTGTTGGGGTGTATAAACACAAGAATGAAAATGGAGGATTCCAAGGGATGAAAGAAGCTCTTTGAACTGTAGTTCTGGAGCATTATCCGAACGGATGCTTTTTACTTGGAAACCATATTGGGTGGAAACGAGCTTGAGAAACTCAGGAAAAACTTTTAAAACATCATTTTTCTGTCGAAGAAAGTAAATCCAGGTATTCCTTGTGCAATCATCAACAATAATCAGAAAGAAACGATAACCATTAACAGAAGTAACATGAGAAGGACCCCATGTATTGATATGAATTAATGCAAAAGGTTCCTCAGAAATGTTTTTATTTGAAACAAATGGTAAACGTTTTTGTTTTGACAAATGACAAACTTTACAATGAAAATCTGAAATATTTTGAGGAAGATTAAATTTTGAAGACAATGATTGAACCCTTGATAAGGAAGGGTGACCCAGGCGTTGATGCCAAAGCTCAGGAGAAGCAACCATGCATGAAACATGTCGCTGAGGGGAATCATTTTGGTTTAGGAGATAAAGATCATTGGTTTGATCACCCTGATCAATCATCCATTCCTGAGTATGATCCTGTATGTAACAAGCATCATGATAAAAATGCACAGAAAGATTTTTGTTTTTCGTTAAAGAACTGACACTAATAAGATTGAAATGAAACGATGGCACATAGAAAACGTTATGAAGGATAAGTCTGTTACTAAGATGAACGGTTCCAGAGAAATGATCAGGGATGGTGGTTTTATTGGGAAGAGTGATAGTGGTATGCTCAGTATTACTGATAGTAGAGAACATATTCAGGTCATAGCAGATATGACAACTAGCTCCAGTATCAAGAATCCAAACCGTTTGAGGTAAAGTAAGGCTTGGTTCCAAAACAGAAATAGTGTGAGAAGGTACGAGAGATGTACCTTGTGCTGAGATAGAACCAACGTGACCTGAGGCAGGAGGTGGACGTATGACTTGATACGCGGAACCATCGAGCTGTCTGTTCAACTGAGCAATCAACTGAGTTATCTGTTCTGCACTCTGCGAGCTATTTCTAATCATCAAGCTCTTTCCAGAATTCACCATGTTCACAGAATGATTCACATTTGAAGTCGGAGCTTCAATAGTCCCTGTGGAAGTGAGACTAACAGGAGCATAAGATTGTCCATTGTAGGATATCAGCTGAGTTTGAGGAATGAGCTGTTGAGTCTCTTCTGTAGGGTGATCATAAACCATGTGAATGCCATTCTGTGGACCATTTTTCTGTGGGAATCGGCCTTTAGACTTCTCTGTGTTGTAAGCAGACGTGTCGACTTGTATCCAGGAGGATATCTATGGAATTTGTAGCAGCGATTGACTGTGTGTCCAAGGAGGCCACAATGAGTACAAAGAGGTCTTGGCTTAGACTGAGAGTAGTTCCCACGCGGTTTCTGTTGATTTACACTTGCTTGAAACACAGGTGCCTCCGGTGTAGATGAGAGACCACGCTGTTGTTCATCTTGAGATATGAAGTTGTAAATCTTGGTGAATTCCGGGAGTGGATCCATCATGATAATCTGTCTTCTAGCTTGTGAGAAAGAATCATCGAGGCGCATCAGGAATCTGACAATGTTTCTCTTCTCATAGAGCTGAAGCCAGCGAGTATTGGATCCACAAGTGCAATTACCACAAGTACAAGATGGTAACTCTTCAAAGTGTTTCAGTTCTTCCCAAAGAGTGGTGAGGCGAGTATAGTATGCACTAAGATCTAGCGATCCTTGATAGAGATGATCGAGTTGATCTTGAACAGCATAGATCTTAGACAAGTTACTCTGCCTAAACCTTCCTTCTAAGTTCAACCACATGAGATGAGCATCATCGAAATAAACCGTTCCAGATCCTATATCCTTCGAGACTGAGTTTGTAATCCAGGTACATACCATGTCGTTGCATCGAGTCCATGATCCAAAATCTGGATGTGTTTCGGATGGCTTTGCGAGAGTACCGTAGACGAATCCAAGCTTGTTCTTCGCGTTCAGAGATTTGATCATCGAACGACGCCATGTGTGATAGTTTGATTTACAGGTGAGTTTATCTGCTACCAAATACACGCCAAAATTGTCAGCAGCATGAAGAAACAGTGGATTCGCGTATGGATCGGAGTTGACGACGTGAGGTGCCGTGGATTGATTGTGAGCCATCGGAAAAATGATCGGAGAGACGCGCGATCAAAGATTAAACACGATCGGAGAGAAAACGCGATCGGAAAAAGATGAAAAAGAAAAAAAATGAAATCGATCGGAGATATGAAGATGTGGATGGATTGAGGTGAAATTGAGCTGCGGAAGTATATAATATGTGGTGGAGATGAAGATTTTGAGGTGGTGATGGAAATTTGAGGTGGTGATGAAGATGAAACGAGGAAAAAAAGTGGTGATACGAGAAAAAGCTCCGATCGAAAAAATTCACCGATCAAACTGTTGAGAATCAATCGACGAACACGAAAACGAAAGAGAAAAAAGGATCAATCGATTCTCAAGAGATCTGAGAAAAAGCGGAAGGAATTTGAATGAAGTTCATGGGAAAAAGCTCTGATACCATTTCAGATCTAACGAGAGGTTGTTAGATTTAAGTTTAAACTTCATTAAAAGATAAAAGAAAACAACGTTCTTGTTTAAATACAACAGTCAAAATACTAAACCGAAATTAACATAAACCAAAGTCTCAATAACCAACATAAACCAGTATATAATCTGATAATATTTTCGTGTTCTACCTCCGATTTTCAAGTATCCCATTTTGGAGCATCTTTCAACTTTGATTTTCCAATTCTGAGGTATTTTTGGGTTTGGGCGATACATTTCGAGCTCAATAGCAATTGAAGATTTCGAAATCAGGACCAAAATTGGAGGTTGGCGTGCAATAGGTGAGATATTGCTAATTGGCGGAGCACAGGACCTAAATTGGAGCTCGATATGGGATCAAAACCTTTGTTGTTGCTGTAAATGCTGAGACAAGGATAAAGGTAAGAAGTTCTTCTAAGCTGGGAACTACCTCAAAGCTGCAGCTCTTTATACTCAAGCCATCAAGCTCACTCCTTCTAACCTACTCTGTACAGGTTTTTCCAGTTTACTTATACTTTTTTGTTTCACAGTTTTAAGATTCCTATTGGGTTTCGATCAAAAATGAAGTGTATGTTTTTTAATATTGGGTTTCCTATAAAAAAAAATTGATTTGAGCTGCGTGTTCTTATAAGATCTGGTTTTGTTCTCTTGTAAAATGTTAGGCTGAAAAATGAGATTGTTTAGGTGGAAACATGAGGCTTTTCTTACCTTGAATTGTTTGATCCTTAAGATTAAACATGAGGCTTTTCTTACCTTGAGCTGCTGCATTCTTGAAATTAGTTAATAACTTTGCATTGAAATAGATAATGCTGACAATGCATCTAATGGATGATGGGTCTGATGCTGGCAGCGTAGCTAAGGAAAAGGTAGTACTATTATCAAGTTAGTTTTCTTACAACAATACAACAACAAGGCATGATTATCAAGTTGTTTTATTTTATTTTTTCACTTGCCACATGTGGCTACATCAAAAATGAATGTGAGATTTTGACGTATCCTCTTTTGATTGCACCTTAGAAACATACCAGATTGGCTGTTTCTTTTCAGATTTTCTCCTGTACCAATCAGTAATTTCTGGCTTGGGAGACAAAAATGAGCCACTCATATACATGGTGGGTTTGACCGAAGCCATATATGCAAAATTTCTTGGAATCCAATTATTGGTGATGTCAATATCAGTAGTTTAGTTAACCCTCTGAGTGAAATGAATAGTGGATCACCTTTACTTGCTTTCCATCTACTGATGCATAATCTCAAGAGTGGAAGATACTCATGGTTTCTTTAACTCTTTATTTATGCTGTTTTATGTATGTTCATAGTTTTTGGATCAGAGTTATGTTAACTGCTACATTTTTCTAGAACATGGTAGCTACCTACTTTACTTTTCTTTTGCTTGTTGTTGCGACTCTGACTTTTAAAAAGAGTAAAACGACTACGATGAAGACCAAAAACTGCCGCAAAGGTCTCTGATGTAGTTAACTGGCAAGTTTGGATGAAAATGATACCATGAGTGATTAAAAGGCATTAAGTTATGATGATGATGATACAAAGATATGGAGACTGAGACGCAGAGGTACCATTCCAAGGAGAGCAATAAAACTCTCTTCATTGGCATGGCGTTGATGGAATTTTGGAGAATAGACAGGGAGTAAGTGAAGAGATGTTGTGTGTAACAAATTCAAAAACATATGGGTGAGGTCCATTATGACACACCTTCGTAAACCCCGTGTACACGAATATTAAAAACTGACGTTTACAAATGATATGTTTTATTTTTAAATTTACAACAAATGATGGTATAATTAAAATTACAAATCTTGAAAGAGAAACATACAAAACTGATGTTCACAAGGTATGTTTTTTTTCAATGTACAACAAAAGATATAATTTGAATTTCAAACCTTGATAGAGATACAAAGAGTTTCATGGTGACATAATACAGAGATATGATAATAATTTTTTTTATTAAAACTTCCACAGCGGAGCGCGGGTTTCATTCCTAGTATCAATAAAAGCAATTCGATTGCAATGAATCTTTTATAAGTTATATAAGATTGGGCAAGAACTAACACAAACATGAGATGTGTGTATGATTTAAGCTTAATCTATCTCAAGCTTAATTAACCAAAACTGTGTCCTTGATTTCACCAAAAGAATTCTTATCCCCTGCATAATACTTGATCTAATATACTTGGTAACTCACATTTAATCAACAAGAAAAGTTGTCGAGAATCATCAGTTCAGTATTTTTGGCCTCTCTTGCATATAAATATATAGTGTAACAGAAGTCTACTGCATTCTTTATCAAATCAAAGTCTTAGCACCAAAATAATGTCATACAAATTTGTATATAGCTTCCTGCTTCCATAGGCATATGCATATGGTAATGTCTTCTTACCATATATCGTAAAGTCCACAAGTTGAGTTGCAGATACAATTGATTACCAACTTGGGGGACCCTTAGACCATCTCCATAGCGGGTTGTAAAGAAGGTTTTTAAATGATTTGACTAGTTAAAATGATTAAAAAAATGTTTTAGGCAGAGAAAAAGTTTAGACTCGGATATTATGTAAGCACCAAGGATTAATATTAGAACCCGACACGTGTCGACGCGTGGGTGAATTAGCGTTTAACAAAACAATTTTTTTTTTAAATCACTCATTTTCTATTTCTCTTTCTCTCTCTGGTTTCTCGGTGATACGAACAAGGCGATTTGTCAAACCATCGATCAGTCCCTCCGCAATCCGATGCGATCGGAGAAGATTGTATCTCTGTCTCTCTCTTTCGCTTTATCTCTGTCTCTCTTAGTCTCTATCTCTCTCGTCTCGCTGTGGCGATACAAACAAGGTGCCTGATCCGATTGTATTCCGCCGTCCATCGACAAACTGATCATGCAGCTGTTGTCTTGGGGATTCCTCTGGACTTTGATTGGAAAAGAAAAGTATATTTCTTCTCTGTTAAAGGTTTATGCAATTGATTGTGTTTATGCTTATGGATGGGTTCTTAGAGACTATGTTTATGCAATTCTCGTACTGAAAATTGATCAGACTGATTGAAAATTTATGCAATGGATGTTGCCTCTCTTGATTGTTGGTTTATCTTCTCTGTATCACGGTGTTGGAACAGAGCGCAGGGTGTTGGAACAACAAAAACTGTGTTTCAGAGAGAAAAGTTTGGGTATCTTGGATTGTGATTGAATCCTGTACGAAGCAGTTTCCTTAAAGAGTATTTCGACCCTATACAGCCTTGGGTTACACGAAATCCCTCGCAGGATAAGACAATCACGTCCACTCTTTGTCTAGGCTTAAGATCAAAGAGTAACAAGAAGAGATCTTGTGTGTGTTTACTTTGGTTGCTTTTGTGAATCAGATCTATCTCTGTAGATCTCGAATTTCTTCTCATGTCTCAGAGAGACAACAGAACTTATAAAGTTCTCATAAGGCTTCAATGGACGTTTGCAACCGTCCATTTAATGATTATACCAAAGACACCTGTTCGCAATATGTTGGAACACCTTGGTATATGTTGTAACACCTTATTCACTTAAATATCCAACATTCCTCCCCCATTTAAGTGTAATCTTTCATTCACAAAACCAGCAACGAATAAACCAAACCACATGCATATATATAAATGTCGTATCGATTGAATTTACATACTGTGAATCACACGCATCTAATGACCGAGAATCAAAGTGTCCTATGGATTGAACTTATCAACTACTTTGGCCACGAGAGGGTGAAACACGCATGAGTTTCTCACTACTCTTAATGTTTCTTGACACTATTAACAGCCATGTGTCCAATCCTCTCATGAGTGCATAGAAAGCCAAGTCCAAGCTTCTTGAAGCGGCTACACTTCACACTCACATAGGTAGATCCTTTACATCTTGCTTCTGCATTTGCAATTTTTCAAAGGATCTATTAAGAAGTCATACTTCAACCTAAACTTTCATGCAGATAATAAGCACTTCCTTTGGGATTACATAAACAGTGCTACAACCTCTCAAGGAATGGGCTCACCTTGAACTCAGCTCCTAGCGTTGTACTAGAAGGGAGTTGGGTGTCCCACGACTAGAGGTTTGAGATGGACTTCAAACCAATCCCTTCAGCTGACTTTATTACCAAGTCCCTAGACAGACCCTTCGTCAAGTGATCTGCTAGATTCTGCTGAGACCGAACAAACTCTAAAGTTATCACACCGTGAGTGATCAATTCACGAACAGCGCTATGCCTTACGCCAAGGTGTCTCGACTTTCCATTGTACACTTGGCTATAAGCCTTAGCCAAAGTTGCTTGACTATCACAATGGATTGAGATAGGAGACACTGGTTTCGACCACAATGGAATCTCAGAGACAAGGTTTCTCAACCACTCAGCCTCTCTACCAGCAGCTGCCAAAGCCACAAACTCAGATTCCATAGTCGAACTTGTGATACAAGTTTGTTTCTTAGATGCCCAAGAAATGGCACCTCCCCCAAGTAGGAACACCCAACCACTTGTAGAAGTATGATCTTCCACGTTGGTGATCCAACTTGCATCAGAATAACCTTCCAAAACCGAAGGAAATCCTCCATAACACAAACCATAGTCCATGGTTCCTCTCAAGTACTTGAGCACACGCTTTACAGCCTGCCAATGGTGAGTACTAGGATTACTAGTGTATCTACTCAACCTTCCAACTGCATATGCAATATCTGGCCTTGTGCTTGTCATTGCATACATTAAGCATCCAATCACTTGAGAATATTCGTGTTGCAACACAGCCTTTCCTGTGTTAGGCATAAGTTTTACACTTGCCTCCATGGGAGTACTTACAGGGGCACAGTTCAAGTAATTGAACTTCTTTAACACTTTCTCAACGTAGTGAGATTGTGATAAACATATCCTCCCATTGTCACGCTTGATTCTAATACCAAGAATCACATCCGCCTCCCCCATGTCCTTCATGGCGAAATTTGATGACAAAAACTCTTTTGTGAGTTCCACTAATCTAAGGTTGGTACCAAAGATCAACATGTCATCCACATATAGACAAATGATCACTCCATTACTGGAATCATCAAACTTGCTATATAAACACTTATCTGATTGGTTAATCTTAAAACCAAAAGACAAGACAGCTTCATCAAATCTTTGATGCCATTGCTTAGGAGCTTGTTTCAGCCCATACAGTGATTTCACCAGCTTGCACACCTTGTGCTCACTTCCAGGCACAACAAATCCCTCTGGTTGTTCCATATACACCTCTTCTTCCAAGACACCATTTAAAAATGCAGTCTTAACATCCATTTGATGGATCACAAGATCATGAATGGCTGCTAAACCAATCAAGAACCTTATAGAAGAGATTCTGACAACAGGAGCATATGTATCAAAATAATCAATGCCTTCCCTTTGTCTAAAACCTTGTATAACCAATCGAGCTTTGAACTTATCGATTGCACCACCGATCAACATTTTCTTTGTGAAAATCCACTTGCAGCCTAAAGCTTTGCAACCAGGTGGGAGATCAGTCAGGAAATAAGTATTGCTTCCTACTATAGAGTCCATCTCATCATTTACAGCTTCTTTCCAGAAAGCAGCATCAATAGAAGCCATAGCTTCACTGAATGTCCTAGGTTCATCACCAACTAGGTAACAATATGAGTATTGTAGAACAATCTCATCTCTTGAACCTTCTACCAAATAAATTTGGAATTCAGGACCAAATGATTTCTCAATCCTTCCTCTCTTACTTCTACGAAGTACAGGTGACTCGCTGGTTGTTGGAACACAAGCCGAGATGTTGGAACGTACGTTTGTACCATCTCCTTGTCCAGTTCCAAACGAAACCAGATCCTTTGGTCTAGGTATTGATGTGAAACGATTCTCATCAAATATTGCATCTCTTGACTCAATCACAGTGTGAACTGCTATAGAATCATTAGGTTCAATGACATAGAACCTATAAGCCTTGGAATGCTCAGCATAACCAATAAAGATGCAATCAATACCTCTTTCTCCCAAAGTTCTTATCTTTGGTTGGGGTAGTCTTACTACAGCCCTGCAGCCCCAAACTCGAAGGTAGTTCAAGTTAGGCTTCTTTTTGTACCAAAGTTCATATGGGGTTATCTTGTTCCTTTTGTTAGGAACTCTGTTCAACAAGTAACATGCTGTTAACATGCCCTCACCCCAGAAACCGTCACTCAATCCAGAGTAGGATAACATGGAATTAACCATTTCTTTAAGGACTCTGTTCTTCCTCTCAGATACACCATTTTGTTGTGGTGTATAAGGAGCTGTGACCTCATGTATTATACCCACAGACTGAAAGTAAGCAGGATCATAATACTCACCACCTCTATCGGTGCGTAACTTCTTAATCAAGTTACTTTGTTGCAATTCAACCTCAGTTTTGTAAACCTTGAATTTCTCTAAGGCTTCATCCTTAGAGTGCAACAAATATACAGAACAATATCTGGAATAATCATCAATGAATGTGACAAAATATTTCTTATTCCCCAGAGATGGTGTAGCATGCAAATCACATAAATCACTATGAATCAGTCCAAGGACTTCCGATACCCTAACAATGCTATCAAATTTCTTCCTAGTTATCTTAGTCAACATACATGTTCTGCATTTCTCTACATTCATGTCAAAACCAGGAATTAAACCTTCCTTCGACATTTCAAGCATCCTAGCATAATGTACATGGCCTAATCTCATATGCCATAAGAAACTATCATTTCCGACTGTTGTTGGAACAGCGGATCAGTGTTGGAACATGTCATATAACTAGAATTGATAACTTTATTAATATTAAGCATAAACATGCCATTACAAAAGTATCCAAATCCAACAAAGAGACCACGTTTGGACAGTACATATTTATCAGACTCATACACTTGTTTGTAACCAGACTTGTTTAAAACACTTCCAGAAACTAAGTTTTTCCTAATTCTGGGTACATGAATAACATCATCAAGATGAAGAGATTTCCCAGAACTAAACTCCAGCACCACTTTTCCACGACCAAGGATAGGAGCAGTTGACTCGTTGCCCATATAAAGAACAGATCCATCTTCACTGCTTCATAAGACTTGAACCAGCCACGATCTTTGCAAACATGTGTTGTTGCACCCGAGTCAATCCACCACGACACATCATCATCCTGCACATAACATGCCTCAGATATCTTTGATACATAATACACTTTAGGAAATGTATCAATCTCAGAAATCTGACCTTGATGTGGTGATTGGCCTTGGTCCTTAGACCCTTGCCCAAAACGCTTCTGAGGCGTCTTATCCTTATCCTTTCCAGCCCTACAATCACTCTTGAAGTGACCAGGCTTGTTACAATTCCAACAGACAGGTTTAGACCTCTTGTTGGATCGATTGTGAGTGTTGCTGTTAAAGGGACGCTTCTTCCCTTTATTTTTCCACTTAGAATCATCACCTCCTCCATCATGTTGATAGAAGAAGCCTTCAGCCACTTTGGGTTTTCCACCCTCTTGCATTCTCAGAGAATCCTCTATGCGCAAGTGGCTGCCAAGTTGTACCAAAGACAACTCTTCCTTCTGGTGCTTTAAAGTTCGCCTGAAATCCTTCCAGGAAGGAGGCAACTTGTCAATGATACTTGACACAGAGATGGACTCATCCATCTTCATATCATACTGAGCAAATTGGCCCAATATGCGAAGCAATTCATTGTATTGCTCCATCACTGGTCTTGTATCAGACATCTTGTAATTGTTGAAATTACTCACAAGGAACTTCTTACTAGAAGCATCCTCTGCCATGTACTTTGCTTCCAACGCATCCCACAATTCCTTTGCGGATTGGACATTTTGATAGACATCAAACAGAGAATCAGACATACCATTGAGAATGTGGCCGTGACAGATGTAGTCATCATTCTTCCATTTGAGTTGTCTCCTTGCTTGCTCTGCATACTCCTCACTCGCTGGATCTACCGTCACAAGAGGCATCGGCATGCTTAGAACATGAACAACATTGAGTGTTGTGAGAAGAAAGTGCATCTTCTTCTGCCATCTTCTGAAATCGACCCTTCAAACTTGTCTAACTTCCCAAAGTTGGTTGTCATCTCACGCACAGAAACACCAGCCATCGTTCTCAGAAAATACTCTTTAAGATTGTTGGTTTATTTCCTCTGTTTCGGTGTTGGAACAGAGCGCAGGGTGTTGGAACAATGAAAACTGTGTTTCAGAGATAAAAGAAAAATTTGGGTATCTTGGATTGTGATTGAATCCTGTACGAAGCAGTTTCCTTAAAGAGTATTTCGACTCTATACAGCCTTGGTTTTACATACGAATTACAAACATCTCGTATTTGTATTAGTTATTGCCCATTCCTGTATAAATTTTAAAAGTATTTATAGGCACAAATTGATGAATTCCTTTGATTAAATTTTTTAACCTTTGCACCATTTCTTATGACAGATTAGTTTCAGAACAAAACAGTTATGTTGAAGTTCATTCATTTTTCTTTGTTTACAGTGAAAGTTGATTTTGATGAGAGACAAAAAAATAATGGTTTGTATATCTAAAATAATTGGTCTAATCTTTACAAAACACAGAAACTGCTTCACTTCAGTTCTCTAAAATACATGCAGCTGTTCTTGTTGTTCAAAAGAACATGGTAAAGAACATCTAGCACTAGAGATGGATATTAGCAGAGCCTTTTCTGTATCTCCATCCATTCGTCGTTCTACCAATTTGATTAGATACTTCAAGAAAACCGAATCAAATGGCAACATGATTGGTCCACCGGTTGGGAGGCCAAACTCTTCTTCAGAGATCTCCAAGAGTTCTTGAAAAACAGAGTTGCCCAAGTAACTTAACGGAAAAGCAAATCGTGCTTATCCGCCGTGTAAACCACGAAACATCCCTTCTCTACAGCAGTTGAGCTGATAGTATTTCTTGATCTATGACATGAGATTCTTTTCCTGCTTAAGGCTGCTCTCTGTTGCCATTTCCTGGCCATCTTCATGAGCTTTTTTGTGTTCATCATTATCTTCAGAGAAAAGCTTTTTTCTTAGATTGGAAAGCAAAAGATGTTTGTAAGTTGTGTAGTTGTATAACTCTATGTATTCAAGTTATGGTTGATGATGAATCCAATAGGCTTATTGGATTATATATAAGGAGAGACTACTATAAGTTAGATAAAATAGTTATAGCAAATAAACCAGACAGAACACATGCTTCTGTCTTTGTCTTATGTGATCATAAAGGGTCCCAAATTTAGTAACCAATCCTGACTGCTAATCAACCTGTAGATTGAAGCCTCTCATGAAAAGACATGACCATGTGGATGTGGCTATGAATCTTATATAATAAAATTTAGATACAAAGACATGTGCAAGTGACTGAAAGATGTAGAACTTGTAGGTCCTCTAATGTTGTCCCAGAATTTATACCTGCAGTTGTAATAGGTTTCTGGGGTCCTTGACTATCAATTCTCTTCTTCAGAAAAATCTTCTTTCAAATGAGTAAAAAACTTTGATAGCTTTGAGGTTTAAAGGTTATTCCTCTAGAATCCGACTATGTACGAGAAAGCTGTTGTGATAAATACAATATTAAGTTACTTAAATGTTGCAGGCCATTTTTTCCATGACAATCTATCAAAAGATTAAAGTTTGCAACAAAACGAATTTTTGATAAATTATGTAAAATAATTGTAATTTTCTATTGTGGATATATAGTGATCAACCTGTATATTGAGATACTTAGAATTTTCTTGTTTTTAAAAGCATGTAGTACAGAGCATCAGAATATCTCTTGTTCTTGTACAGTCTTGTAAATATTTTTAGAGATTCACATGAACATTAGATTAAAGATTTTTTAGCAGGTGGACCATTTTTCAGAAAAACTGCTAGATGATATGATAAGAGATGAAACTGTTCCAACAAGTGGTATATTTCTCTTAAAATGGAAGTTGATTTTGAATTTTTAGGAGTCAATCTTTAAAAGAACACAAAAAATAGTTTGTACTTCTGACTATGAATAGTCTATCTAATACACAAACATTTCTACACTCTAAAATACAAGCAATTGTTGAGTAGTACTCTGTCGTTGTAAAGAACATTGTAAGGAACACTTAGCACTAGAGATTGACATTAACAAAGCCTTTTCTGTATCTCCATCCATTCGTCTCTCAACCAATTTGATGAGATACTCCAAGAAAACTGAATCGAATGGCAAAGTGATTGGTCCTTCTGTAGGGAGGCCAAACTCTTCTTCAGCGATCTTCAAGAGCTCTTGGAAAACAGAGTTGCTCAGGTAACTTAACGGAAAAGGAAAGCGGATTTTATCTGCCGTGTAAACCACGAAACAGCCCTTCTCTACTGCGGTTGAGCTGCTAGTAGTAGTATTTGATCTTTGGAATGATATTCTTTTCCTATGGAGGGCTGCTCTCTGTTGCCATTTCTTGGCAATCTTCATTAGCTTCTTTGTGTTCATCATTATCTTCCGGGAAAAGCTTTTTCTTAGATTGGAAAGCAAAAGATGTTTGTAAGTTGTGTGCTTGTATAACTCTCTGAATTGAAGTTATGGCTGGTGAGGAATCCAATAGCCTTTCTGGATTATATATAAGGTGAGACTATTAAAATTAGATAAATTTTGAGCAACTAAGTTAGACAGAACACATGCTTCTGTCCTATCTTTGTTGTATGGGATCTTAAAGGGTCCCAAAATTAGTAACCGATACTGATTGCTCAAAAACTTGTGGATTAAAACTTCTTCCGAGAAAACATGACCATGTGGCTGTGGGTATAAACCATAAATTAATATTAATAAACCTGGAACAATTCATCGAAAAATCAGGTTTTGGGTGAAAAAGGAACAAGGAAGAATGAGTTTCTGGAGTTCATGATTAGAGATGATAATCTTTGTTCATTTCGGTTCGATCTCCAAGAAGTCCGCAACGACAAAAATGATGAAAAGGATTTGATGGATCCATCTATGAAGCAAATAAGTATACCTAATAATCAAGACAAGGTGTATAAAGTCTACCACTGCGATGGCTTATTGTTATGCGTCACGAGACTCACGACTGACGAAGACTACAAGGACAGGTTCTTGGTATGGAATCCGTATTTGGGGCAAACCAGATGGATCCGACTCAGAAACGAAATCCATATTTGTGACGCTTATGCTCTCGGATACGGATACGACGACAACAACAACCGTAACCACAAAATCTTGATGTTTTTTTCTGACAGCCATAACAAGAATGCAAGTGCTGAAGTGTACGATTTTATCTCTGATTCGTGGAGGGTTATTGATGTCAATGTCGACATGGGTGAACTGCGTGACTTGCGGAATTTTGATTGTGGTGTGTCTTTGAAGGAAAATGCATACCTTTTAGCTATAAAAGATACAACAACGGAAACAGGAGAATATTGTGGGGAAGATTATTTGGTTTGTTTTGATTTCACTACAGAGAGATTCGGACCGAGTCTGCCTCTCCCATTTCAGCCCTACAGTAGTTATTGGCTCGAATCTGAGATTATATATTGGGTTAGAGATGAGAAGCTCGCTGTGTTCAATATCCTCCACGAAAAATTCCCTGGAGAAGAGGTCTGCGTGTACGAGTGGCCCGACGTAAATGAGATTTGGATATCGACTAAGATTGACACCGATGCGATATCATGGAGCCTTTTCTTGAGGCTCGATTTGAGTTATTTTGATGATTTCGGCCTTCGTGGGTTTTTCATTGACGAGGAGAAGAAAGTCGCTGTGTTTCTTGGTCTATATAGATTAGACGAGACCGAGACCGAGACCATTGGCTACCGAATGGCTAAAATAGTTGGAGAAGATGGATACTTGAGATCTTTCAAGATGGAAGAAGTTTCGAATGATAGGTGGGAGTCGTGGGACAAGTTTGTGTGCTCTTCTTATGTTCCAAGTTTAGTGCAACTGCAAATCAACCAACCGGACGAAAGGAATGAAATAAACAATTCAGACGAAACGAAAGAGCAAACCAACCAACCTGACGAAAGCAAACAGCAGATCAACCAACGGGACGAAAGCAAAGAAAAAATCAACCAACGGGTTAAAAGGAAAGAAAGAGAGGATCATCACTCTGTTCCATTTCCAATACTTTTCTTGTTCCTTGCACTATTTATCTCTTCCTTTGGTTTCTTTTATTCTCTTTTCGGTGCATCTCTTAATTAATTTTGGCTTTTTATCAAAGAACTAGTATTATAGTATTATGACATTGTTGACAGGAAAAAAAAAATTAAGTCAAGTCTAGAGAATCACCTTGATGAAACATTATCTTGGAAGTTACCATTTAATTGCCGTTAAGGTCCATATATAATTTGTTACAGTTAGGCTTCTCGTCGTCATTTACTTACATCTGTAAATTTTATGTAAATCTATGATTTTCTTAACCTGATGCTCTTAATCCTTGTCCCTCACGTTTCCTTACAGCTCTTTTTGTATCATTGACTCTGCTGTTTCATTATGGTCATCTTGAAGTAGTGAAGAGCACAATCTTCAAATGTCAAAAAAACAGTATATTTTACTCAAATTGTTTGATTTTTTTTTTTTTTGTAATTAATATTTCACATTTTGTTTCAGTTGATCTCTTGTTAGAGTTTGATTTGGTTGTCCCTCTGACTTGCAACCGTATTAATCTTTCTTTGGATTTTGATGAAACTCATTGTTCAAAAAATATATTAATGTTGTATGTGTGTTCTCTTGTGGTGAGATTTTATGAGGACACGCGTTGAATGTTATCTGTTTAATGCTAGTTTCTCTAATTCAAAGGCTACATGCCACCTGAGTTAGTTAGTCGCGACTAGGATCATTATAAGTTGCAGTTGGAGATGCTTCATCTATTAAAGTATGTAGCATATTTGGTTGGTTTTGGAGGCCTTTGGGCAAGAGGCAAATCCCCTAAGTTAGTTGTTCCTTGGTATGGCTTCATGGACTTCTCGTTCATTCTGTACTAAGATAATTAAATATGGAAGATTCCGTGTTCGTTCTCAACAGTCGTCTCGTGCTGGGTTCAAAGAGGACTCTTGCGTTAATATTTATGTATTTAATTTTTTTCCAGCTTGTATAACATGAAGGCGACCAGCCAGAATTGGCGTTACCATGCCAATATGACAAGGAACGCCGAGAAAAGATTTGTAGAGATCTCTGAATGAAAGTTTTGATTGTTGAAGAATGCTATAAGCTTTGTTGCATGGATTATATAGGAGGAGAGTATATTAGTTTTAGACAGGTTATGTGACAAGTTGAATCTGTTTCTAACCAGACACAACACATGCAAATCTGTTTCTACTAGGGCATCTCCATCGCTAAAACCATTTTTTTGGTTTTTAACAATAATTTATAATAAATTTTTCATCAACTTTATATTTACAACTTTTTGTGTTGGATCTAATTTTTTCTTCTTCCATTGGTAAAATCTTTTACATGGTTCTTTAGAAAAAACGTTATATTTTTCAAACACTAATCGTCCCATCTTCGTTTTAATTCATTGATCTAGCTGATGTCCGAACTCCATCATTCACCTTCAACACATAAACATCAACAAACTCTTACAATTTCCACTATAAAAAAGATTCCAGAAAATGTGAAAATACCAACTCCTCAAATACATTCAACAGAAGAGAAACAATTCATTATCAACAAAACCATCAAAAACTCTAACATATTTTGTATTCAATCCCCACGAATTTAGCAGTTTCTTGTGTTTGTGATCTTTTACTATATTACTTTCCCTTTCTATCATTCTCTGCAGTTTTTAAACAATTTGGAATATGTTTAAACAGATTTATCTAGTGAATACAGAACACTTACAGTTTTTTTAATTTTGGAGAGAAGGAGTCTTCAAGAAGATGGTTAAATTGGTGGTATGGAGGTACTTCTCTGAAAGGAGACCGCCCATTACAGTCCCATAACTACACGCCAAGGACCAAAAAGATGAGTGGTTTGATTAAGTCAGTTTCTAAATAGGAAAAAAATCAAACAAGAGTCTTATTTTACCTGCACCAAGCAGTTTAAGCAAAAGCGTGACAGATAAATAAAAATGATAATCAATCACAAGAACAGAGAAAAGATATATCATCTCTTACTTACCTTCTTCTTTTAAGTCAGTGAGGTATTTTAATGAATCAAAATAACCATCATTCGCATTATCCCACCTATTATTCCAAATTACAAATTAAGCAAATAAGCTACAGAAATTGCTAGACATTACTAAGAAGATAGAACACAAATCAACTACTAGCAAAGTAAGTAAAGAAAGAAACACACCAGTGAAACTGAAGCATATCAATGTTGGATATTTAAGTGAATAAGGTGTTACAACATGAACCAAGTTGTTCTAACATGTTGTGAAAAGTTACTTTTGGTTCAATCATTAAACGAACGGTTGCAAACGTTTCGTTGAGGCCTTATGAGAACTTTATAAGTTCTGTTGTCTCTCTAAGACAGGGGAGAGAGAAAATTCGAGATCTACAGAGATAGATCTGATTCACAAAAGAAACCAAAGTAAACACACACAAGATCTCTTCTTGTTACTCTTTGATCTTAAGCCTAGACAAAGAGTGGACGTGATTGTCTTATCATGCGAGGGATTTCGTGTAACCCAAAATACAAGCAATTGTTCTTGTTGCTGAAAATGAGCAATTATAGGACTGTTTACCAAGATTCATTTATCTCAAGTAAAAGTGAAACTATAGCAGAAATAGTTGCTTCGCTGGAGAGAAACTCTAAGGACCTAGATGCTCTTCTCCTTTGCTTCACCAGCACATGTCTTTCTTTGTACCTATCTATCTCTCTGATCATTCATTGTAACCACATTTTTTGTCCTTGATTTCACCAAAAGATTTGTTGTCCCTTAAATTTCGCTGATTGTTCTACTAACCAACTAGCTAGGGCATAGGGACCCTTATGCTAAGAAACAGAGCTATACAGAATCATGAGTTTGTTTCTTTTTGGCTTCTCTTGTATATACTATACCAAAATTCAATGGCCTCTTGCATTCTTCATCAATGTCTCAGTACCTAAATATTGTCATATAAATGTTTATTTAACACACAGGCCACATGATCATGCCTTCTCGCCAATAAGTTGTATTATAGTCCACAAGTTGATTTGGAGGCATAACTGATTACCAACTTGGGACCCTTGGAATAGAAACAACAGCATGTGTTGTGTCTGCTTAGGTTGCTCAGGAGCTTGTCACAAAAGCCTGTCTGACACTAAAAGTTTTTCCTTCTATATAATCCAACAAAGCTTATAGCATTCTTCATCAATCACAACTTTCACTCAGAGAGCTCTACAAACACAACTTACAAATCTTTGCTTTCTCTTTCTCGCTTTCCGATCTAAAACATCTTTTCCCTGAAAAAAATGATGAACACAAAGAAGCTAATCAAGATGGCCAAGAAATGGCAACAAAGAGCCGCACTCAGCAGGAAAAGAATCTCATTCCAAAGATCAACTACTACTACTACTAGAAGATCAGCCGCTGTAGAGAAGGGCTGTTTCGTAGTTTACACCGCAGATAACATTCGCTTTGCTTTTCCGTTACGGTACCTGAGCAACTCTGTTTTCCAAGAGCTATTGAAGATATCTGAAGAAGAGTTTGGCCTCCCTGCCGGTGGACCAATCATGTTGCCGTTCGATTCAGTTTTTTTGGAGTATCTCATCAAACTGGTAGAAAGAAGAATGGATGGAGATACAGAAAAGGCTTTGTTAATGTCAATCTCTAGTGCAAGATGTTCTTCACAATGTTCTTTGCAACAACAAAGTAGTACTAGTCAACAGTTGCTTGTATTTTAGAGTCTCTATGAAACAAAGAGACAAACCAATTTGTAAATATTTATCTAGTTAGATTATACAAAACAAAGTTTGACTATTCATTCTATTCTCCTCCAAATATGAAAACTGACACTAAGTGAAGCAAAATAGGTGCATTATTTCCACATAATAAACGGAAAGGTGTGATGAGACAATTACTCTGTAATTGACATATACAAAATCGATCATCTTGTAGATATGTTACACAAGAGTTTATTGTGTGCAATGTCAAATTATTTTAGTTTGTCAGTCAAGTCAACAAGGCAACTTCAATTCATTGCTCCAAAGCTAAAGTTTCATATGGAGATACTAGGAAGGGCAATAACTGATTAGGAGAGATCTTGTTCTGCCCCTGAAACTATTAATCATGCATTATTTACATGAATACAACCTAAAATCCCGAATAATTGCCAATCTATATCGAATAATCACGCCTCATACTTTTTGTAGCTTCCCTTTAGCCCATAGTGATTAGTAAAAATAGGAAAGAACGAGTGATAAAATAAGATAGATAAAACATAGTCATAAACATAAATTTACACATTGTCATGTCTTTTCAGTACAGGTTTTAATCCACAAGTTGATGAGCATACAGGATTGGTTACTAAATTTGGGAACCTTTGTGATCACGTGCAACAAAGACAGAAGCATAAGGCATGTGTCCTTTCTGGTTTAGTTGCTCTAAAGTTATCTAATTTATAATAGTCTCTTCTTATATATAGTCCAACAAGCCTATTGGATTGTTCATCAGCCATAACTTGAACTCAGAGGGTTATACAACCACAACTTACTAATATCTCTTTGCTTTTCGATCTAAAAAAAGCTCTTTCCTCAAGCTATGAAGATGGCCAAGAAATGGCAATAGAGAGCAGCCTTAAGCAGGAAAAGAATCTCATTCCAAAGATCAAGTACTAATACTACTGTAGAAAAGGGATGTTTCGTGGTTAAAGTACGCTTTTCTTTTCCGATAAGTTACCTGAGCAACTCTGTTTTTCAAGAGCTCTTGGAGATCTCTGAAGAAGAATTCGGCATCCCTACAGAAGGACCAATCACGTTGCCATTCGATTGTGTTCTTGGAGTATCTCATCACATTGATCGAACGACGAATGGATAAAGACACAGAAAAGGCTCTGATAATGTCAATCTCTAATGCTAGATGTTCCTTACCATGCTCTTTTCAACAACAAGAACAACTACTATTTTATTGAATTAGAAAGTATAATTTTTGTGTTTGTAAAGATTAGACAAATCTTCTTTATATTATTAATTGAGAAGTATATGAAAAATTTATGACCAAAAAACCAATCTAATTATGAAGAGAAAGTGTTTGGCAACAGATTTAATTATGGTCAATT